GGGGGAGAGGAAAGAGCTGCCTTCCCTGTTGCTTCAGATGTGGCAGCTCTACCAGAAGGGCTGGCAGGGCAGGGAGAGCAGGAAATAGCTTCAAAACAGGCTCTTGGTCTCTGCCATTGGCAGCAGCAGCGTGTTCATAAGGGCTTTGAGCTGTACTTTTCCCGACAGGTGCCCAACAAAGATTCACTGGTTCCACGAAATCATAAACCAGCAATAAACTGAAAATGCACCATCATAAAGTGCCATAAAGTGAGTGAAGGATAATAATGAACTTCCAGTTCATAACAGCCAGCTCAGGGAGGGGATCCTGCCCCTCTGCTGTGCTCTGGGGGGAACCTCCTGCAGCCCTGATCCAGCTCTGGGGCAACAACAGAGGAGGAGGAGGCCACAGAGGAGGCCGCAGAGACGCTGCGAGGGCTGGAGCATCTCTGAGCAACTTGCTCTAGTGGAAGGTGTCCCTGCCTGGGGCAGGGGTTGGAGCTGGAGGAGCTTTAAGGTCCCTTCAACACAAACCATTCCATGATTCTGTGATTCTGTGATGAAATGAATAACCTCCCAGTTTGTACCAGCCAGCTCAGGGAGGGGATCCTGCCCCTCTGCTGTGCTCTGGGGGGAACCTCCTGCAGCCCTGATCCAGCTCTGGGGCAACAACAGAGGAGGAGGAGGCCACAGAGGAGGCCGCAGAGACGCTGCGAGGGCTGGAGCATCTCTGAGCAACTTGCTCTAGTGGAAGGTGTCCCTGAGGAGGAGGAGGCCACAGAGGAGGCCGCAGAGACGCTGCGAGGGCTGGAGCATCTCTGAGCAACTTGCTCTAGTGGAAGGTGTCCCTGCCTGGGGCAGGGGTTGGAGCTGGAGGAGCTTTAAGGTCCCTTCAACACAAACCATTCCATGATTCTGTGATTCTGTGATGAAATGACTCTGCAGAATGACCTGAATGTCACTCATTTCGCTACTTTGGTCACAGCAACGTCTGTGCCTCTCACTGTGGGTTCAGGACCATGGGACTCAGCACCCCCTGTGGTGCAGTGCAGTGGCTCCAGCACCAAGCCCTGTGTCAATCAGCTCCATCCCATGGTGAGGGGCTGCTCCAGTTCCTCCACAGAGGTGTGAGGAGGGCGAGTGGTCCAGAGCCCCGAGTGTCACTTCTGGGCTGGGATGAGCTCCTGTGTTCATCTGCTGAGGGAAGGGTCCAAGTGGCTTTCAGCAGACACGGCCAACCTGGTGCTTCTCCCTTTGTGGTGCTGGCGAGAGGCTCCTTCAGAGCCATGCTGGGGATGATTTGGGGTGGGCACCCATTGCTCAGATGAGCTGCTGACAGTGTGTGCTCTCTCCCTGTTGCAGGCAGCATTCCTTGGGCAGAGGGGGCTGACGGAGGATGACTTCCTGACCAAGGTGCTGGAGGGAATGGCCTTCGCCGGCTTCGTCACGGAGCGCGGGGCCCCGTACCGCTCCATCGACCTCTTCGATGAGGTGAGAGGGGCAGCTTGGGAGCAGCCCCCCCCGCCTGCCTGAGCTGGGGATGTGCCATGATGCTCCAGCTGCAGCCTTGCACCAGGATATGGGAATGGTGTCTGCATCCTGCGGGAGCTGCTCCTCTCACCCGTGTCTTCTCCTCCCAGCTCGTGGCTTACGAAGTGAAGCGCATGCGTGCAGAGGAGGGGAACAAGCAGAAGATCCTGAGGCACATCAAGGAGCTGGCAGAGAAGCTTTACAAGAACGTGAGTCCTGTAGGCCCCAGCACAGGGGGAGCTGCTTGGGTTAGAGCCCCATCGCTCTGTGCTCCCTCCATAAGCTCTTGTTGGATCTCATGTGTGTTATGCTGTGGTTGGAGGGGACCTGTCACAAGCAGGAGACCACGAGGATGATCAGGGGCTGGAGCATCTCCCACACAAAGACAGGCTGAGAACATTGGGGCTGTTCAGCCTGGAGAAGAGAAGCTGCGTGGAGACCTCAGAGTGCTGGGGGTGTCCAGGGGTTGTAGATACCATCTGGGGGAGTGCTGGGCCTCAGGGCAGTGGAGGTTGCTGAAGGATGGGGGGTTCTGCTGGGGCTTCTGCCCTGGAACAGGATCTGTGGTGTCCACACGCCTGACAAGAGACTGTGTTTGGTGTTCCAGGAGAACCCGTACCCCGCGGTGACCATGCACAAGGTGCAGAAGCCCACGGAGGGCTGTCACCTGCGCCTGCACCAGAAGCCTTTTCCCCGTCTGGATGAGGGGACAGTGCAGTGGATCATTGACCAGGCCACTGCCAAGCTGCAGACAGCTCCTCCTGCTGTGAAGGCAGAGAAGAAATGCATGGTGCCATCGGGACCCCCCATCGGTGCGTGTGTGCAGAGGGACCTCCCCTGCACAGGAGGAGCTTTACTGTGGTGTAACAGCTCCTTCCCACATTATAGCATGTCCAAGGCTCCCATGTGAGGAGCAAGGCGTGCTTTGGACAGCATCACTGTCCACATTTGTTTCTGCCCATTGGGGTGCTTATTGCTCCCTGGGCTTCTACGAGCCAGCATGAGGGGATGGTTGAAGACCCCGTGGGATTCCTTCAGGATGAGTTCCAGCCCATGAGGAACAGGGGAGGAAGATGGAGAGGGGCTTTTGACAAGGGGAAATGGGTTTAAACTGAAAGAGGGGAGACTAAGGCTGGATATAAGGCAGAAGCTCTTCCCTATGAGGGGTCTGACATGCTGGCACAGGGTGCCCAGAGAAGCTGTGGCTTCCCCATCCCTGGCAGTGTTCAAGGCCAGGTTGGACCCAAACTATTCCATGATTCCAGGATCTCTCCCCAGCTGGGGTGAAGGTCCTGCCCTGGTTGCACTGACGGGTGATTCTCTCCCCAGCTGCCATCATGGAGCGCAATGGCAATGCCCTGGCCAACAGCGCCCGTCGCCTGGAGGTGGTCAGGAACTGCATCTCCTACGTCTTTGAGAACAAGATGTTGGAAGCCAAAAAGGTGAGGGAGGTCCTGAGGAGCTGTTGAGTGAGGAGAGGTGAGATGGGGATACTCTGTAGGGTCTGTCCCAGGGAGATAACCAAGCTGGGTCCTCCTCACCTTGCTGAATGTGGGTTTGGGACTTTGCTTCCCCATCTGAGAGCAGTGAGCTGCCTGCAGACACCCTGGGGCCAGCCAACAGCCAGAGTGTGAAGCCCCCTCATTGTGGGCTGCCCTTGAGCTCACTGTGTGACCGGAGCTCCACCGGACCCCTCTTTCTCCTCCATGACTTCTCCTTTCTCTGCAGCTCTTCCCAGCGGTGCTGCGTGCCATGAAGGGCCGAGCAGCCCGACACTGCCTGACCCAGGAGCTGAACCTGCACGTGCAGCAGAACCGGGCAGTGCTGGACCACCAGCAGTTTGACTTCATCATCCGCATGATGAACTGCTGCCTGCAGGTAGGGCAGGGCTGGGAGGGCTTGTCTACCCATGCAGAGACATGAGAGCTGGGTGTGTGCAGCCTGGAGAAGGCTCCTGAAGGGGACACCTTAGAGCAGCTCCAGTGCCTAAAGGGGTTCCAGGAAACCTGGAGAGGGGCTTTGGACAAGGGATGGAGG